AAAAAAGGATGATTACTTGATGCCAATTCAATCTTTCTTGGACCGTTTTTTAAAGATAGTAATAAAGTTTTACCTGGATGATAAGGGACATTTCCAAAAATAAAGGAAACTAGACATGGCCGGAATAATTTGTAGCGGGGAACTCCAGAGCGACCGGCCATATCGGATTCCCATCGGACCAGGAGGCGCCATTAACCAACCGGAGAGGGCATGATCGACGACACTTGGATCAATTTCAGTTCCGCCTCAGAGTAACTGGATTAGCCCCCATCCGATCCAGGGGCTCTCATTTTTGTCAGTTCCGGTGAGGGTTAATTCACCCCATTCAGTTCCCTCTTAACCTCATCCACCGTCGGCTCTTTCAATTGCATTTACTCTCCGCCACCTACCTCGGCTTTTTACCTTCTTGCCGATGGGTGTATTGAAGCGTTATCACCTCTTCTTTTGCATGTTTAATGAGCATAAAGATTTAAATCATCCCCTAATGACAATCATTTATTTATTTACTTCCTCCTATTATTACTTTTTTTTTTTAAATCGCCACTAATATTTTATTCATTCGTCATATAAATAAATCTGGGATTTATTTAAGGATGGACAATCATCTAATTAAATTTAAAATATGTATAAATAAATAAAAATAAAATTAAGACAAAGTTTCAATCCGATGTTTATTGAAGTTGTCATTCATAACCTCTGAAATATTTGAGAAGAGAACATAAATGAGAAACCACCAATCAAGAAAATGTATGTATCATCGGCATCCAGGGAAAAGAGGGAAAATCTCATAAAGGACGACTAACTAAATTTGAACAACAATTCGATATGGATGGAGAATACTTTTGCATAAACTTATATATTTTGTATTTTTTTCTTATTTTTCTACTTCCATGATTTTCCACTACGAAACTTCTGTAATATGGGTAATGTCTTTTCTCTCATTTCCCATTAACAATAAAATTTAAAAATCTTATGCACGTTATCATTTTTACTTGTTAAGATGGGTATGATGTTCCATATCACCTCTTTCAGTGTTTAAATGTTTTCTCCTGAATTTTGTAGCCGCTCTTTTCCAAAAGCTGCATTGCAGCATTTTCTAAAACCACTACGGCCTTATCAACCGACACTATTTTTTTTCTACTTTGTTAAGTAGCTATATTACCCTGAGGTTTCATTGAATTATTACACAAGTAAATATAACAAAAGAAAAAAAAAATGAAAATGTGTAAGAATAATGATGAACTTTCAATAATTTTTAGAAGTTATCACTTATCTGGAATAAATTCAGCAAAACTACATCCCGATGTGGGAGGTCATCAGTTATACGCCCGGTCGAGTGGCCTCCAGAAGGTTGACGGTTCGCATACTCGAGGGGGCTCTAGCGGATGGACACCATTTCTGAAGGTAAACCATCCATGCTCTTACAATACACGCCTTTGCTTAACTTTGATTAGTTATTGCAAGCGCCTCAGCCCGTTTGGCTATTCAGGCCTCTATATTTCATGTCATAATACGAACCATTTTTTAAAAATATGATCCTTGTTGAAACTAAAAGTGGAGAAATGTAAGATTCATTTTAAACCTGGCTTAAAGCTGATTGGCCAAAATAAAATATTTAAAAGCAGTTTGTCCGTTCTGGTTTTTAAGACCTCAATATGTAAAGTCAAGTTAATGTTTCTAGTTGAAATTTTTTCCCCAGCTGATAACACTAAATGATTCTCATAATTAAGGTAGGGCTTCAGTAAAATCAATTTGTTCTTTAAATTAAATACCAATTTATAAAAATCATTGAATATTGAAATATATTAGTTCAAAGTATTTCTTTTTAATTTTTTAACGAGGATAGCTGACAATAGATATATAGATAGATCTATTATTAGACGAGCACGCACATAGAAAATTCACAGGAACGTATACAAGGAGGAAGTGGGATGATGGAGTATGCCTTGGGCGGAGATAAAGCGGAAGTAGGGAGAAATATGACTGAGGAAGTTTTACCTTTTTTTGTATTATTATTTTTTCACACAGTTACTACAATTCGCTAGGATTTCGGTAAACCTTTAAAGCCAGGGAAAGTTTATTTGGAGAGTTTGAGAAGATTAAGGATAAAGGGGGCGGTGGGGAACCCAGTGGGAGCAGCGACCAAAGAAACAACCAAGAAAAAGTTGGACCCTCGTGTGGTCGGAATTCTTCGAACTAATTCTCAACTGTTCAGGTGAAAGTTTAAAATTTGAGTAGGCTGGAGGATGTTCGAGAAATTTTAGTTTACACCCGCTGAAGAGTAGACCTCGCCAAAGTTACTTTTAAAATAGTTTAGAAAATTCAATTTTTAGGTAAATGTTTTTAGTATTCAACAGCAAGTTAGGTTTTAAATTAACTACAAGGATTACTGACCTATACTTTATTCGCATTCGCGCAAGATGTTTCTATTAAATCTATACAAGATAAACTTAAAAAAATGAGAAACTAAAATGCATAAAAAAAAAAAACATTAGTTAAAGAAACATACACCATACCAATGTACCATAACGAACAAAATTAGGAATTTCTCTTAAGATTTGTATCACAAAAAGTTCAAAAATTACGTAGCCTGAGGTGTATGAAAAAATAAAATAAAATAATCTGGCATCATTTCACTTACCACCCTCTACCTAGCATAAATAAATATTTTCAGACAAAGTGAAAGTAAAAATTATACATGCTATATTTATTTACATTTCATTGTGATTGTTTTTGTTTGTTTAATTATCGTTATATATACAAATTTTAATTTTTAAATGGTTGTAATCTATACAATTAAATATTGAATAATAACAACGATAGCATTTATGAAAATCGCATATGTACATAATATCATATTTTATATTTAACTATTTTTATATCAAAAAAATTGATGTGAAATTGTTAAGTATTTCAAATAAAAAAATTAAAGGTACTTTAGAGGAAGCTAATGTTGAAAATTAACCATTTAACCTCAGTAGGAGAACATCAATGGGAATAAAAACTATATCATATTAAAAATTGCTCATCAATACATTGATATACAGAGTTTAATTAACGTTAGAGCCGTTTCTGAGAATATAAAAGTATGTTAAATTGATTATATGAAATTGCAATTTTCCGTAAGCCGACTTTGAAGAGAAAATTGCTGTAAACCTTAAATATGCAATTTCACTTTCATACGACTTTTCGTTTTTGAGCTAGACAGTTCACATACATAGACACAGACACATATATATATATATATATATATATACACACATATACAGACACACCTCCACCCATAGACCATTTTGCGGGACTTTGTTTTTTGGACTCAGGAGACCTCAAAACGTGTATTTTCGTTGAAAACATAGATTCAAAAATTTTTACGATCGCAATACTTTCCTTTATATATATACATATATATATATATATATATATATATATAATATATATATATATATATATATTTAATAATATATATATTTATTAATTTCACGATATATATATATATATATATATATATATTTAATTTTGATCAATGCGATTTAAGCCCTAGGATAAAGTTTATTTTCTATTCTATTTCTATTCTATAAAGCTAAGTTAAAAAAAAATTATAAATAAGAATTATTATGGACCTTATAAAAGCGTATCCTTTGTCCTTGAAGACTCTAATTTCTTGAATAGTTCCATAAGGAGCGAAGGTCTTCTGCATGAGTTCCTCCGTCAATCCGTTCGTGAGCCCTCCGCAATAGACTGTGCAGTTCGTCGGGCTCGACTGGTTGTACACCTCATCGAACGTCAATGGCTTGGCGTTTGCTGAAAAAAAAAACCAACTTGTCAGTATTCGGAACTTATGTTTGAACATCGTAATATAAAAAAGTTTGAAAAGTAAATTATGAGAAAATTCAAAAGTGAATATAACGAGAAAACAACATGCAACGTTACTATATTGGAGCAAGCTAATTGATAAGAATAAGAATATTCACACTGACCAATATCATACATAATGAATTTAATTAAATTAAAATATTATCTGAGAATATATATAATAATGAAATAAGTCTATATATAACAGAAGTATTCTAATTGTAAATAGAAAAATCTTTATATTATAATATTTACACAGGATTTTTAGTCAACTGGTAATTCGGAATTGAAGAAATATAACTTTAAATAAAAAGATTGCAGTAGATGGTTTTTATTTAATAAACCGTGACATAGCTTAACCAACAACAAATTTCTGGTAACCAAAGTCAGATAAATAAATTATTAACATATAACATTTTATTTCATTACTTTATTTCATGACCTAGAGGATGAAAGTAGTCAAGAATTATATTCAGACCCTGAAAAAGTTAATGATCCTTAATCCTACTTAGTTTATTAAATACCATTGTCACACCAACGACAATCATCTTTAGGAAGTTACAATTCACAAAAAATAACAGCTAGCAGATTAAATATAAGTAAATTAAAAACCATGATGACCTTTCATTCGACATTAGTTTAAACTTGTGTTTAAGACCATATATAGATCGGACTCGATTTATAGATTGTCTTTTCAGGGTCAGAAAGTGCTTCGACCTAATATTGCTTTGTTTGAACGGACTATCTATGGACCTCCGGCAACTACTTGAAGTCCTGGAAAACCACGGACCGATCAAGGAACACTCATCATATCAACACGATCGATTTGAGATGCCTCAAAAAGACAGACGAATATAACAACCGTGTGCGTTTTGATCACTTTGAAACTATTAATAAACGCAAATACATATAAACATATACATTTTTAACATCAGACCAGGCATAGGTTTCCAAGAAATCTTTAGCCTCTACGTGAACAACTTGTAATATTGTTTGTATATAAGCCGACAGCAATTTAAAAAACAAAGGTTATATTTTTTGTATAATATTTCAACTTGAAGTTTAACCATTCCCGCATTTTATGGCTTTAATTAACACAAACGAAGTGAAAACTCGTACCGTCACAAAATCATATTTATACCCGTGTAGTCTATAAACTGGTATTTTCTAGAGTGATGAAAGTAGTTTCAGATTGTCATAACGGAATATTAATTGATTATTCAATTCCACTTTAAACCCACATCAAAAATTCCTGAATAATACATACCGTCGGCGCCATTCTAAAATAACGAATCTTAACCTGTCCAACTTGGCACATTCGTTACTTTGACATGGTGCCGACCACATATATTCATATATTTATTAATTATTTAATTAATACTACCAGTTTAAAAAAAAAAAAACTTTATTTTATTAATATAGAAGTGAAATGTGTAAAGTTTATATCTATTTCACAATAGCTGGCAGATTTATGAAAGATGCCTCCTCTTCAATAGCCGAGTAATACAATAGGTATTATTCTCCGGGAGCCATGGTATTTAAACTGGTTCGGTAGGCATTGTAAGAGGGCTGAGAGCGTGCGAGAGTAAATTTGCAACAACAAGCGAACAGGTTGGTAGCCCTGTGTTTGCCAAGCCTGAGGCAAGCGGTGGGTCTATTGCCCCCAGTTTACACCCCCTCAAGTTTCTCATTACAAGGAAGCAGCCTGTTAATTAGGATCAGTACAACACCTGATACATAATGAACGCCCTACCGAAAAGGCGCTCTTTCTCATCACAATATATCGATTTAGCCAAAGTTAGAAAATGTAATCGATGATTTAAATAATATAAACTAACTGTCCAACAACACTAGGAATTATTTTATTAATTAATGTTTTTAAATTCACTCATTTATATAATGTGCAAGCCAAGAAACCACTAGCTCGATGTTTGCCACAAAATGAAATGTTATAGATAAATATAAAATTTTTTTAATAAAAGTTTTATTGTTTTATGTTATAACCTCAAGATATACAGAGTAGGATCTCCTATTTTCCTGACCCTTTAATATTATTTTAAAATTTAAAATACAGTAAAAAAACATTGGATGGTATTTTTTTAAGCGAATAAAGAAACATGGTTTAATTAGAGATATATATACCACATAATTATTTTCTCTCTATTATATAAAAAAGTTTTCAGTGCTCACCTCTTGTTTTTTTTCTTTTTTTTTTTATAAAGACCGTAACAAAGGTACCATAATTCTTATTCCCAGTATTATTATGATTATAAATAGGCAATAAAGCGCTTTGTATAATATATATTTCTAAAGAAATTAAAAACTGTGGTTTCGTTCCGTTTATTTTATGATGAAAAAAATAATAAATAAGGATACCCCTCAAGTTTTTTTTTTTAAATATGTTCGTTATAATTATTCCATTCTTTCTAAAACCAAATATTAATGGTAGGTATTGAAAGTATAACATAAAGTAAATATGTAATTATTATTAATTATCAGTTGCAAAGGTTTCTAGCATCTGTTTGTATGCATACATATACAGAAGATATACATGACATTAATCCTAAAGAGTTACAAAAAAGTTTATAATTTTCGTTTCCTAAAAAGTGTCTTAAATAAAACTATAATTTTCTGCTTTTCTTCAATGAAAATTGAACCATGATTAACGTAAACTTCTTGCAGCTGTTTAGTTCTACTGTCGCTCGTTTAAATATCCCCCTTTACTTAGGGGACACCTTGCACATATTTTATTCTACTATATTGCTTTTCAATTTTTTGAAATCCGAATTAATAAAAAAAACTATAGTTTTGTTATAGTACAAGAGATGTAAAATATCTTTATATAAACACTAAAAGGAGATATAAATCCTGAAGATGACGTGATAATCGCATTGCTTCGCATTGGTTATTGATTAATAATTTAGAGAATATGATTAAATATGAATTTTTCTAAATTTAAATCAAAGACGGTTAGCATAAATTAGCATTAGCATAAAACTAATTAGTGATTAGTAAACGTTCAATACAAAATTACCAACTTAGTATTTTAGTTTTCATTCTTAATAAATAAATAAAAGAAAAAATAATCATGAAGATGCACTGAAAAATATTTTATAAATTCTTATATATCAATGAAAGACTATTAAGAGAAATACTATTAAATTTTTAAAGTAATTATTTATTAGGTACTTTATTTTTAAAAATTCAGTAAAGTTTCGTAATGGATTTACTGGCTGTCACGGTGATCGCTGTAAAGGCTTAGGTTTTGCGGACACTCACGACTTCATTCGAGCGTAATCGGTAATCCTTGATCTAGAGGTCGGCCAATAAATAAATTACTACATTTTGTTGATCCTCCGAGTCTTATTGTTCTCATAATATAGTTCTGTATATTTATCTAATATTCAAATTAAAAACCACTTCATTGACCAGACAATATATGGAGAACAGGTTTCAGGAACACTTAACTTTTGTATGAATTAATCCGAAGAAAAAGGAAAGAATATTATAGACAGACATCAAATCTTCTATTTCATGAAAATAAAATTGTTTCATTGAAATAACTTGTAAAATAATTATTTAATAATAATAATAAAGAAACATAATGACTTTTTTTTTTTTATTAAATAATCACTTATCTGAACTTGCACTCTCTTAAGTATTAATATTTCTCCCCAGAGGGACATAAACCACGTCCTACCGCAAAACACTAACTGATTTATAATATTACATACAAAATGTATTTAGTAATATATTACTTTCTTCGTTATAAAAAAATACAATACTCATTTAATATTCTTTTATCATTTATAAAATACTTTTATCGATTTTATATGCTCATGTTTTTGAACATTTTGTGATTTGTTACCGAATAGAATAGATCAAAATGGCACTTCTCTAACAGAAAATCAATTCACGCTGAATTTACCCATAGTCTAGCAGGATCCCATCTTAGGAAGAAAAAAAAACTAAAGAGGAGTTTATTATTAAAAGTTTCTTTTTTTCTTCTTCTTTTTTTATTGAAATTTACAACTATAAACATATATACAACCAGTAAATCTGCTGTAGGAATATGTAACATGAAGGTACTAGTGAAGAAGCTACCCAATGGTAACACTTCAAAGATAAATTAATTTAGGAGATCCCTTGTCCATCTACTTTTCAGACGCCTCGGAGGGCTGTCAGGAATTGTATTGGATGAAAGGTTACAAACTAGAGGATTGGGATGACCAAAGAGTTTGGAATGAAAAGAGGTATATCTAGCTCAGGCCAAGTCTTTCTCAAGAGGAATGTTGAGGTCTTTATGGATAATTTTATTTGTGACATAATAAGGAGCATTTAGGATTTTACGGAGGATTTACGATTGTAAGGATTATATACGGAAAGAATTTGATGTTTTTGTAGAGCCCCAAAGCTCAATACCTTATGTCCAAATGGGCCAGATGATGGTAGTGTAAATGAATTTTCTGTAGAATGTTGGAAGTTTAGAGATTTTGTCAAGTAAGTGTTGTAGTAGTCAGAATCTGTCGGCAGTTTTTTTGTTTTTTAAGTTTAGTATGAGGACTCCAGGTAAGGCGTTTGTCAAGAAGGAGTCCTAGGTAACGGATCTGTTCGACAGGGATCAGTGAAATATTGTTAAAAGATACGGTGGGACAGGATGTTGTAGGTTTACGGCGAAGGGTAAAAGTAATTATTAAAAGTAAATGTCGAAAATAATAATTCGAAGAACTTCGAATCGATGCTTATTTTATGTATATATAGTTTTTTTTTATAAGGGTCATGGGTACGTAATTTTTTTCAGTAAATATTCTGATATTTTGCTAAGTAATATTTCTGGAATGCAGTTGATTTTAATAGATACCTAAATAAATAAAACCACACAAGGTACTGTTCCTCAAATAGTCTATGTATTTTCATAAAATTTACACTACTCGAAAAAAAAAATTTTCAAGAAAATTTATCATTTAAACAGTATTACTAGATTATATGAAACATAATTGCTATTGATAATTAACTGAAGTAGAATATTATTTATAGCAGGGACAGGGCCCACAAATGTTTCAATTACTATCCGGTAATGGACTAATGGAAACGCTATACCCCATTAATTTAATTGCCGCTATTTAGAAATGAATATTTACAATGAATGTTATTATTATAATGAACACCGACATTAATTAAATTCGATTCCCGCTATGATCAAGGAAATCTCTCATACGTTGAGATGTGCAGTACACGATTACTTTCATGATTTGAGTACTTTTATTAGGAAAAAGTAGCGAGTAGTTCCTGTACTCGACCCGAAGGCGGCAAATGCTGAGAGTACTTACGCTGTATTAACCGTACGTTTGTTAAGTATAGAAAGTACCCGCAGTGTTATCTCCGATCACCGAAAGTACACAGCAAAATAGTACTTTTTATTTTCCAACTACTACATCATTATAATGAGTATAGATATTTTCATCTAATTCCTTAAATAATAGCATACATATTGAGGTTAATTAAAACCCGCATGATCAATATTAGGGTCCACTATTACTTTGCCGAGGGCGCTTTTTATGAAAATAATGTCGGATTTGAGAATGCTCTACCACACATCAAGTTTTATAGCATAATAGTGGACCGTAATGTCAATTAAACAAAAAAGTAAAAAAAATTAATAGGCGTTTGAGCATTCTCAAATCCGACAGTATTTTCTTTAAAAGCACCCCCCCGATAACAAAGAAGTGTTTGCATAGGGCTAATTCAATTAATCTGAACTAAATTATATTTTCTCACAAATTTGCGATATATCGACTTAATATCTATTTACTCTATACTTTTTTCTCTCTCTTCTTTTTCTTCTCGATAGTAATTTATATATTATTTTTTTTATTTTCTTCTTATTATTTTTTAAAACATATTTAATTTTATAAAAGTAGTTTTATGATTGAAAAATAAATCAACCAGTACAATTTGAGGGCAATGATAACCGTCAGCAGTTTTTTGCCCCTAAACCCAAAACAACAACAAAGTAGTGTACCATAATATTAATTAAATTACAAAAACCTGATGCGAGGTTGTGCGTTTTCAAAACCAACATTATTTTCATGAAAAGCTTCTCCCAACAACACAACAGTGGAGAAAAATATGGAATAAATCCGAATGATTTTAATAACTCCATATCACCGGCAATATCGAAAAAGCTCCAACAGTTTCAGAACGGTGTGCTAAGAAAAATATTGAGACACACGACTTTACAAAAAACAGGTACTGACCTACTACATACCACTCTTAAATTAACGAAGGTGGGCGACTTTATTACACGCAGGAATATCAAATTTTTTGATAGCGTCAAGTACTCGACAAACCCACTTTTTAAAACACTTATTCCACTTACTCACAAACCTATGAGATGACAGATATATATTAAAAACCTATTACTAGACTGAAAAATTGGCATTTACAGGACACTAGTGAACACCAGACTAAGACGCACCATAACTATGAATAACCACAGTACTCCAAATTCCCCATCTTCCTCTTAAAATGCACTCTGTGTCGTACAAGAGTTCATGTTCAAGCCTCGTAACACCATTCTGTTCTCAACACCACATCATATGGGGTTAAGAAAAAAAAAAAGAAAAGAAAAAAAAAGTCCATAATGAATCGATTTACATTAATATTGATAGTATTTTTAAAAACTATACCC